TATTATGTAGCAAATACATTTATAACTTTGTAACAAACTTGTAATTGTTATTGTTGTTATTGTTACTGAATTGTGTAATTGTTTCAAGCAAGCTGTAACAGTGACACATAGTTTCTTTGCTATTATATATTTATATATATGTATATGATTTCACAGCAACATTTACTTACTACTACATTTACTATGTGAACATATAATCATAATAAACTGTAGATGAGAAATACTGCTGCGTCCTCTCTGTGTTTGTAATTCTTGTGTTGGTACAGTAAGACTGATATCCCCTGAGTTCCCATGAATATAGGAGTGTTTTTCATTGTTTGGTAATAGATATCTGATCTGTGTTTGCTACATGAGCAAATTATATCATTCAAGGATTCAAAGTTACTTTATTGTCATTTACAATGCAGGGTTGTATAATGAAATGATATAGTTCTCTTTATGTTACTTGTAAAAAAATAAGTATTAGTAAGTCATAAAAAAACAAAACGGGGCTAAGGGATTCATTTTGCTGTCTTAGGGTAGAAGCTGTCATCCTCAGATATTATAAAAACCATCAATTGATAAAAAAGTTTAAAATAGTGTTAAAACACTTGTGGGGTTCTGTTTCACTCTTCCATAACACTAGTTTAAGTATGCAGTTGTTTCAAAACTTAATCTCTCTGGAGACAATAAAACTTGACTGTGCCACTGAAGAGGAGCATGTATACTCGGCCAACATCACAATATGAATACAGATTAATTGAAACAATGACACACTAGTTATGTCATCTTGTGATGTTGGCCGAGTATACATGCTCCTCTTCAGTGGCACCCTGATTGAATTACACATATTTTGGCTGATACACCCGAGCACTGACAGATCAAGCACAGTCAAAGTAAGCTTTATTGTCTCAGAGAGAAAGTTTGAAAAAAAAAAAACAGCATTCTCAAACCAATGTTATATATAACCACACCACTGGCCATAACACTGTACACACTTTTTTTATTATTTTACTTCATATTACTTTATATTTATCGTCATTATTGTTAGAATTGTAAAAACAGACATTATGTAAAAATTATGTATTATATTTTATATAATGTATTTTTTACACTGTTTTAAACTTTTTTTTAAATCAATTGATGGTTTTATAATATCTGAGGATGACAGCTTCTTCCCTCAGACTGCTAAACTCATCCTCAGCCCTTGACTTATGACCTATGAATGACTTATTAATTCATTTTTACTTTTTTTACAAGAAGCATAACAAGGACTGAATTTAATTATACAACCCTGCATTGTAAATGACAATAAAGTAACCTTGAATCCTTGAATGATATAATTTGCTCATGTAGCAAACACAGATCAGATATCTATTACCAAACAATGAAAACCACTCCTAAATTCATGGGAACTCAGGGGGATATCAGTCTTACTGAACCAACAGAAGAATCACAAACACAGAGAGGACGCAGCAGTATTTCTCATCTACATGACAGTTTATTCTGATTACATGTTCACATGTACAGTAAATATTGCTGTATATATCAGTCCCTCCAGAAAAACATGATTATGCGATCGCATAATTCAATGCATAATCAGCCAAAGTCTGCATATTCATAATCCATGCATTTTCGTTGCAAAAAAGGAACATATATCTTAGCAGAAAGTTGAAAAATGTTGCGTTTACTTCACTCAAGAGCAGCCATTTGCCCCTGTTGCCATGGGAACGTTATGAAGTGACGTAATTACGCAACGAGAACATCATCGAAAAGCTGCAAACCCCGCGATGAAAACCTTACAGTTGTAAGTATATTAGTAGTATGTAAATTCACGTTGCAGTAAGAGATTTGGGAGATTCACTTTTTTCTCTCTTTTTCATCAAACCGCAGTTTTTGCAAGTTCCCGCAATTTCATGCATAAAATTGCATAAATATGCCAGGTCAGATATGGATATACACTAATTCCTATGTTTATTAATAATTAATAATAATAATTATTATTCCTAATTATGGTAGTAAATATGTTACATAACCAAAACAATCACAAGTAACTGATCTGTACATGTATTAAAATATGTCTATTTAAAATGAATATTAAATGATCAACAACAGTAATAATGCTGCTATAATGGACAATAATTTACAAATCCAAATGAAAACTGTAAAGGTTTTGAAATTGTTCTGTGGACATTTGTACCAGTTTGACAGGAGATACAACTGTGACGTTGTGGAAGCAAGGATTTTAAATTTGGGAGATTTAGTTCCTCCGTCCTTGTCTCTCTCCTCACCTCTTTCTCTTTCACCTCCTCCCTGAGAGGAGCTAAGACGCAAGGAAATTAAGCAAGTGAGGGAAACGAGAAGACCCCTTAAAAGCCGTTTTGGGAGTGTTTTTGAACATGGGTGGATTACATCACAATTACATGCTCTCTCTATTTATATTATGTAGCAAATACATTTATAACTTTGTAACAAACTTGTAATTGTTATTGTTGTTATTGTTACTCAATTGTGTAATTGTTTCAAGCAAGCTGTAACAGGAACACATAGTTTTTTTGCTATTATATATTTATATATATGTATATGATTTCACAGCAACATTTACTTACATGTGAACATATAATCATAATAAACTGTAGATGAGAAATACTGCTGCGTCCTCTCTGTGTTTGTAATTCTTGTGTTGGTACAGTAAGACTGATATCCCCTGAGTTCCCATGAATATAGGAGTGGTTTTAATTGTTTGGTAATAGATATCTGATCTGTGTTTGCTACATGAGCAAATTATATCATTCAAGGATTCAAAGTTACTTTATTGTCATTTACAATGCAGGGTTACTGAACCAACAGAAGAATCACAAACACAGAGAGGACGCAGCAGTATTTCTCATCTACATGACAGTTTATTCTGATTACATGTTCACATGTACAGTAAATATTGCTGTATATATCAGTCCCTCCAGAAAAACATGATTATGCGATCGCATAATTCAATGCATAATCAGCCAAAGTCTGCATATTCATGAGGGGGCCGCATTTTTTCAAATACGGCGCACTTTCGTCGAATAAATTGCTGATTTCCGCGCAAAATATGCGGGGCTTGCATTATTTCATAATCCATGCATTTTCGTTGCAAAAAAGGAACATATATCTAAGCAGAAAGTTGAAAAATGTTTCGTTTACTTCACTCAAGAGCAGCCATTTTCCCCTGTTGCCATGGGAACGTTATGAAGTGACGTAATTACGCAACGAGAACATCATCGAAAAGCTGCAAACCCGCGATGAAAACCTTACAGTTGTAAGTATATTAGTAGTATGTAAATTCACGTTGCAGTAAGAGATTGTGCATTGGAAGCACTTATTTTAACAGAAGATGTCTGTTTTGTATAGCTAACTCTGTAAAAAAGGAAGCACTTTTAACTTTTAATAATTTTATGTATTCATTTTTACAGAAGGTGTAGCATATTCCTTTTGTAAAGCTACAGAACTTGTTTGACTCATCAATGTTTTGTAAGTTTGAGCCATGTGTTTATTAAGGTCTAAAATAAAACAAGATGAGAACTTAAATATTCCCAGCACTTTCTGTGATGTAGTGTGCTTGCTTATCATAGGAAGTAATAAGAAATGACTCTTTACATTAAGGTAGTAGCCTAGTGAGAACAGGGTGTTGGGGGAATCACTTTTTTTCTCTCTTTTCATCAAACCGCAGTTTTTGCAAGTTCCACAATTTTTGCAGTTCCCGCAATTTCATCGCATAAAATTGCATAAATAATTTTGTCACAGTAATAGAATGGATGACAGGCATTAGACAGGTCATCCTGTCTAATGCCATTTATTTTGAAATAGATGGATAGATACTTTATTTATCCTGAGGGAAATTCAAGTATCCAGTAGCATACAAAATACAAAACATACATTACATACATTAAACATACATTAAACTAAAATTAAAAACCCTAACCTTAAGAATAAAATTAAAAATAAAATAAAAGATAAAATATAAAATATGAAATTATATTTATATGTATATATAATATATAAAATTAACAGTAGCTACAGTAAGCAGTGCAAACAGTAAACAGTGCAAATTGTCCATTGTCTATTGTCTATTGTCTATCTCCCTGCCTTTACTGAGAGCTGTTGTACAGTGTGATGTCCAGGGGAACGAAAGAGTTTTTGAGTCTGTTGGTGGAGCTGGATTGGGACAGCAGTCTGCCACTGAACACACTCCTCTGCCTGGTGAAGGTGTTGTGCAGAAGGTGGTGGGTGTTGTCCAGTATGGACAGCAGTTTGTTCAGGGTCCTTCTCTCTGCCACTGTCACCAGAGAGTCCAGCTCTGTGCCCACCACTGAGCCAGCTCTCTTCATCAGTCTGTCCAGTCGACCGGCGTCTCTCTTCTTGCTGCTTCCTCCCCAGCAAACCACAGCACAAAAAGAGGACGTTGGCCACCACAGACTGGTAAAACATCTGCAGCAGTTTTTACAGATGTTGAAGGACCCCAGCCTTCTCAGGAAGTACAGACGTCTCTGCCCTTTCCTGTGTAAAGTGTCCATATTTGCTGTAATTGAGGTGCAAGAAAGCTCGCTATGGGAAAAGCCTGATCCCTGCAGCTATTGCTGCTTTAAACAAAGGGGCGCGCGTGTGTAACCTGTCATTTATTATTTATTCGATTGTTTGTTTGTTTTTTTTTTTTGTTTTGTTTTGTTCTGTAGATTTGTTGAACATGAATTTCCCCCTTGGAGGACAATACATTGAATTGAATTGAACTGAATTGAATTGGGATGTACGGCCTCTCGTGTTTGTGCAATTCGTAATAGTGCTTCTGTTCCTGAAGGAACTGGAAGAGTCAGAAATTCTTCTTTGGAAATTGATCCATTTTTGCTTCACTGGACTCAGCCAACTCTGTTACTAGACAAATACAGAAATCATGTTTGAAAATGCTGTCAGGTGCATTCCTGTTTGCATTTTGTGTGTTCATTGTCAGGATGTGGATCCTTAGTTCCTGATTCTGGGAGGGCAGGATGGCACAAGCAACTGTATATAAGAGCCAGACTCTCTCCTGTTCAGTACCTCAGACTGACATTGAGAAGGAAGAAGAGAAGATAATTCTGCAACAGGTGTGTATTTCTTATTATTTTATGTCCTTTATCTAATGGGTTGACAGTCTCTAGTCATAGTTTCTACCAATACAAGTCTTATTAACACGTCTGTTTCTTTTAATTGAAGATTATCATCTTAGACATCTGCATCAACTTCACCATGAAGATGCTAGCTGTGTCTGTACTTGTTGCCATGATGGCTCTGACTCATGGTGCTGGTGAGTGTGAGTGTTTAGGCAGTGTTTGTGTATGAGTTCTCTGAATATTGTGTTTAAGAGTGAAAAGACAACGATTGAGAATTTTTGGACACACACATACAACAAAAATCACTTACTATTGTGTCAAACTCTCTCTGTCTCTCTCTTCTAGACTCAGAGGTCGCTCCTGCGACAGAACCAACAGTTGAAGAACGTAAGTACATTTTTCTTCAGATCTGAATAATGCTAAAAATATTATACACTGAAAAAAATACAGGAACAAATCAGTCATTTTCTGGTGTGTGAAACTCATTTTCAGAAGAAGGAAAATCTCTGTCTGGATCAGGCCTAAGTGAGTGCATTTTTATTCAGCTTCTTATTCTTACACATTACATTTGTAATGACCATTGCACTTTGTTATGTGCTTTTACATGAGCAAAAAAAGGTCTCTCAATGTTGTGTCAAACTTTCCAGCTCATTTGAAAGATGAGGACGAACCTTTAAGTGGATCAGGAGGTGAGTGCAATGACACATTAGTATTATGACAAAGAAAGACCTGCTGTTTACCTGCTGCTACGAACTAACACAGAGCACCAATAACCTGTGAAACTGCATTTTTGTCTTGGTCGCAACTGTCTTTAACCTATTCAGCCATCATGACACTGTAGTGTAAGAACCTCATGCAACCTTTAGGGTAGAAACTTAAACCTGCAATATAAAAAACGTTTTGCTGAACCTGAGACTGTCTCAGATAATTTCACTGTGAGATACCTGCGCATTGATTAGTTTTCAACCATACGACACAGTGAACAAGCTGGAGAGAAGTGTAAGTGTGTGTGTGTGGGGAAAAGAGAAGGAAACGGTAGTAGTCAAGTTTTTTAATAAACTCTAAAATAAGGTGGAGAATTTAAAGTAGAATACAAATTGTGACATTAAAAATATACTAGAAATAGAGTAATATATTGCCATTCTGTGGGAAACACTGCAAATGGTCTTCAATATGTCTTCAGTTACTTTTTCTGTAACAGCTCTGTGTGTGGGTTGCTGAAAAAAATATTGATCCACTGTCACTGTCAGTAATGTTTCAATGTATCCATATATTTCAGAGGAACAGGCAGTACCTGGGACAGAATCAACCGTTGAAGAACGTGAGTTAAATTTTCTTTTGATTTTTACTCAAGAGCATTACACTTTGTTATGCTGTCTTCTTCACATCACACATCAATATCATCTACAGAAAGAGAGAAACCCTATTAATTTATCTAGATACAAAATGACATGACAGCCCAAGTCAAGAAACTGTTTCTGCATGTCAAACTATTCAACTCTTACAGATGCAGAGAGTGGAAATGGGACAGATGGACCTACAAATGGTTAGTGGATGTTTTTTTTTTTTGTTCTTTTTTTTTCAGAATATAACTACAATATGACATTTGGCGTTCATCTTAAAGTGAGACTCATTACCCCCCGCTTATTTATTTGTATTTAGGAAAACATGTTGTTGTCAAGAGAGCCACATATTGTCCCTGTGGTTGGTCTCAGCACAGAAATCGCTGTTTCCGCTACTTTTCGAGAACCCTGACTTGGGCTGCGGCGCAGGTAATCAGGATGATTTGGGTGCAGAATGCTTCTTCAGTCACTATGTTTGCTTGTATTGACTCGCACACTTTGCACACATAATTTACACTGTCTCCTGACTTAGTATTCTTATATTATGGAAAGTTTTTGTTCTTGGCAACTCCTCTCTGTCTGTTTATCCCCACTGTAGAGATACTGTCTGAAACTGGGTGCAAACCTAGCCTCTGTGCACAGAAGCTCTGAGGAGACTTTTATTAGGAAATTGACAAACTACAACCGAGCGTGGATCGGAGGCTCTGATGCACAAACGGTAAATTAGACAAGGCCTGACGTATTTAATTTGAAGTTTTTAATTACTTGTCCAGTATTTTATACTATTTTGTCTTATAGGATGGTTATTGGCTCTGGATTGATGGGACACGTTTCAATTATTCACACTGGTGTAAAGGAGAGCCAAATAACTATTTGGGCAAGCAGCATTGTCTGAGAATTAATTGGGGAGGTAAATGACAAAACAATGTTTACCGATAAAGCATAATGTATGAGTGTTAAATAATTTAAGACACATTTTTAAAAAGATTTTAAAAATAATAATTATTTGGAAATTATATAATAGTTAATATTATATATATAATAGGTTTTGCTTTTGAAATAATAAATGATTGATGACAAACTGATGAACTCTTCTGTCTTTGGTTCTCACAGTTTCAAAGTGCTGGGATGACGGTTGGTGCAACTACCGTCACGGTTTTGTCTGTGCCGGAATCCCCTGATGACTCCTGGACAAACACAGAGGCATGAAATACCTGTCAAAAGCACAAACAGTGGAGGATGTATCTGTCTTTGTGTCATTGGTCTCATACATAACCTGAAGTCTTCATAACTCAAATCAAACCTGAATATCTTTGCTATCGCTGTAACGCTACACAAAGAAGAGACAAGTGACATAAACAGGAGCTGCTTCTTAGGCCTTGTGCTTTTGATAGCAGATTGAATGGTTATGAAAAGAATGGCTTTTGCACAACTTTATTCTGCAGTGATCTGTCTTTATATAATTAATCATTAATCATTAAAAAGGCTCAAGCATTGAAACAAGATTGTGAGTTTGTGAACCACATATATCCTTTATCTCAAAGCAACATTAATGGAGTGAAGCCTGCGAGCTAGTTCAGGCATACAACTTGAGCTGCACTACTATACACACATGGTTTTCATTTTTTAGTAATAGATATCTGATCTATGATCTGTGTTTGCTACATGAGCAAATAATATCATTCAAGGATTCAAGGTTACTTTATTGCCATTTACAATGCAGGGTTGTATCATGAAATTCAGATATAGAGTGGATATAAAAAGTCGACATACACATACAACGCCAGCAGTTTGTGATGTAAACAAATAAGAAAAACATAAAGAACATTTTCCACCTTTAATGTGACCTATTGCGTGAACAATTTAATTATAAAACAAACTGAAATCTTTAAGAGGGGGGAAATAAAAAATTAAAAACTTGGTTGCATAAGTCTAATAGCTGGGGATGTGGCTGTGTTCAGAATTAATCAATCATCTAAGCCCAACTAAATTTTGCCAACAAAAAAAAATACATGAAGTCTCCCATAAGCATGTGGGAAAATGTGTTATGGTCTGATGAAACCAAGGTTGACCTTTTTGGGCATAATTCGAAAAGATACGTTTGGCACAAAAACAACACTGCACATCACCTAAGGAACATCATACCCACAGTGAAGCATGGTGGTGGCAGCATCATGCTTAGGGGCTGTTTTTCTTCAGCTGGAACCGGGAGATTATTTAAGGTAGAGGGAATTATGTTACAAATTAATGCTAATTATAATGAAATGTGTTTCTAAAGAATTCTTTCTCACTAAGAGCTGCTACATTGCGCATCATGTATCATCCATTCAGCATTTATAATTGAAAAATACAAAAATTAATGGATATACTTTTTAACGTCACCACTAATGCGGGCACAATCTGCAATCCTAGTGTAAACATTATTTAAGGCAGCTTTAGTGGACAGTTCAAACACAGTAAAAGTACGTTTTATTGTCTCCAGAGAGAAAAAGTTTGAAAAGAACAGCACATTAAACCAATGTTATCGAAGAGTGAGACAGAACACCACACCACTGTACACCACTGTAACACTGGACACGCTTCATTTAAGGGAGGAGGTTATTATTACTCTACGTAATTTCTATATGTCTTCTTGATGGTTAGAATTGAACAAATAGACGTTTAACACAGTTAAAGTATGTAAAGGTTATGTATTATATATTATATTATGATAACAATTTTAACACTGTTTTAAACTCTCTTTTTATCAATTGATGGTTTTTATAATATCTGAGGATGACAGCTTCTTTCTGCTAAATTCATCCTCTGCCCTTGTATTTTTTTATGACTTATTAATTCATTTTTGTTTGTTTTACAAGTAAAAAACCACTCCTAAATTCATGGGAACTCAGGGGACATCAGTATCACTGACCAACACAAGAGTCACAAACACAGGGAAGACGCAGCAGTATTTCACATCTACATATCTTGACGACATGTTCACATGTACAGTAAATATTCCTGTGAAATCAGAAAAGAAACTGATCAATCATAATTCCCCACAGTGACTCACCAAACTAAGGGATTTCCCCTGAGCTGGAATAATCTATTACTGGGGTGATGGTGACCCGTTGTAATCCTAGCAGTTCTGCACTTCAGCACTTCTGCTGTAACACCTGCAGAGTGTAGCTCCTATGGTCAGTCGAGCATCTCCACAAGTGTCCTGTTTTGGTGATGTTCAGTAAGAGGTTCTTAGGCTTGCACCATAGTTTCATGTACCTTTTCCAGGCAAGCCTTGTCATCATTGTTGGATTGAGCTGGAGCTGTTTCTAGCCACACAGTAATGTGTGTACAAGTAATAGAGCAGTCCTGCAGGTACGCAGGACAAGTTGAGGTCTTGTGCATTTGGTGGTTAAATGTGTGACTGCATACATGCATGCATGCTTTAATTCACTTTTCAACTTCATGTGTTGGCTATCTATAAATCTTTTGCAAGAATTGTTTTCTATCCTTTGAGTCAGGTTTCAGTGACTTAGAAAACCCTTACCAGGGAAAAATTAAGCTGTTCTGGTGTCTCATGGTCTTCCAACATTTCATAAAGACACGTGTTCTTTTATTTTGTAAAATATAATCCATTTAAATGAGTAATTATATTTTCAATGTCAATAAACTTGTACGGCCTCTCCTGTGTGAGCAATTCTTGATAGTACTTGGTGGTAAATTCTTGATTCTTGATGAATCTCACTTGATCATAAATTTGTGACTGATTGTTTATTAGCTTAAGTAACACCCCCTATATAAGGGCAGGTGGTGGCCTAGACATATATATATATATATATATATATATATATATATATAGACAGACAGATAGATAGATAGATAATGCATAAATAATATAATAATAAATAAATAATATAATAAATATCATAATAAGTTATGCATTGTTTTTTTTATATTCCTCAGATTTAAAACCTATGTTTCTTTGTGTTGCAAAAAACAAGTTGTGGGCTGTGAAAACTAAATGTGTGTTCTTATCCTGGTAGGAGGGCTCTTGACCACTCGTAAAATAAGAAAACGCTGGTGAATCCCAGAAATCAGTACTGATACAATAAGACCAAATCGTAGATAGGAACAAAAAATTAGAGAAATTAGCTTTCATGTTCTTGCATGAGGCCCATTAATGTCTCATAACTGTGTCAGGTTTGTGTTTGTGTCATGCTAAGTCCTAAATATAATAGAGCTGCTTCTTGAGGCCTTGTCCTTTTGATAGCAGATTGAATGGTTATGAAAAGAATGGCTTTTGCACAACTTTATTCTGCAGTCTTTCTTCTACCATGCATAATTAACCATTAATCATTAAAAGGCTCAAGCATTTAAAACAAGCT